CATCTCAGAAAGGTACAATACGAGCCCTCTAACCAATCAGTGCTTCTTACTGTGTGCTCCTACAGATCTGTGAGTGTTTAGATGAATCAGGACATCCACGTAATCCAATACGGTCAATTACATTAGTCAAAATACTACAGCCACATCTCGAACCATCTCACACCATTGATCTTCCATTGGGTTTTTAATGTATTATGTAAGGTGCATCTTTTTTTTGATGAATCAAGACAATTTCTGATGCATAACGCAGGCCAAGAGTATTATATAGTACACTGTACAGACATTGGATATCATACCGCACATCCTGGAGTAAATCCTACACCCCATGTGTCAAACACAAGGCCCGTGGGCCAGACCAGGCCCGCCACACAATCCTATCCGGCCCGCAAAAGTATTTTAATTTCCATCAACATTAGCCCGTTTTTACAATGTGCTGCACTACAGTCCCCAGCATGCACTGCAACGACTCTCCTACCCCAACAACAGCCTATGGGACAGCGGTTACACCTCAATTCTACACCAGTCATTTCACCAGTTCAACCAATATAAACACTTAACATTAGCTAGCAGCTCAGAAACTGAGCCCAAGTATTAATAAACGTGCATCAAAGAAAGAATGCCAGGTGTCTAGTTAGGTAGGTTTAAAAAGACTTTAAAAGGATTTAAATTTCGAATATTTCAAGGTCTACTACAAGTGCCTGTATTTTACTGCTGAAGTTTTTGCATATTTTGAATAAAAATTGGCCAGCTGGGGTTACAGAACAACATTAATTAAAAATGAAAAGCTATTTTCCTCTGGCCCTCGGATTTGATGAGATTTTGTAATATGGCCCTTTTAATGGTTGAGTTCGAGAGCCCTGTCCTACACCGATGGCCACTAAATACAAATGGTGACCCTCAAACACATTCAAACATTCACGGATCTCACTTTGTGATGCTCATATCTTAAAGCGAAAGCTCTGAAATACATAAATATACTCTACAAGCCTCTGATCAGCCAAGAAATGCCAGATGTCTGAAGACTGACATGGCATGACACTGTTAACGTCAGCACACTGCATTAACTAAACCATCTGCATAATCTTCCATTAGTTCTCAGCTACATTAACCTTGTAGCTCCAGCGCAAAACTAAAGGAGGAAACTTTAAACTCCAAACATGTCTTAGCTGATCTAATACATCTGGGGTAAAAAGAGGGAACGTGCAAATTAGATTTTTCACCAAACTACCACTTTAAATTTGCTCGTGACACACCAATTCCCCCGTGATGTGCTTTTATCCACACTTCAGTCTTGATCAGGCCTAAATATATATATGAAGCTGCTACAGTCGTCTCACTTCATGATTAAGATTATTTTTTTTTAATTTTATTTTATTACAAATGCTACAAAAGGGAGGTTATTTCGTCCAGAGAATAGCCATGAACCTCAGGGTCCTTCTCTATTTCTCTCTTTCATTATTTTCTAACCTTTTATTTTGTCTCACCCTCCCTCCTGCTCTCGGTCTGCCCCTCCATCTCTCTCTCTCTCTCTTTCACAGCCAAACCCATTTTGAGGGCGCCTCTACATTCTCAAGCATGGAGAGCCTGTTTCTGTCTGTGTGGAAGCTCAGGAATGAACACACATAGTTTTAGCACGCTACATTCAGGCCCCACCATGAGCCGACATGTTTCTCTTCTCTTGTTTGAAAAGAAGAGCTCATTTGTATTCAATGTTTCAATGTGGTATCATATGTATGTAAATATCTATGTGTAGTAAATGTCTTGTTGTTTGCAAAAGTCAGAGACCACCCTTCATTTGATTTCCGGTCAAAATGGTTTATTTATCGTATGCAAAAGAAACATTTAACAGAAAAAAAAATAAATATATGGGACATTTTTTCACACCTCCAAAGTTCAGTCTTAGAAGTTGGTTGAACTTTCTGCTTCTTACGAACCAAGTAATCCCAAACACATTGAGTGATGTTGAGGTCTGGACTCTGGGGTGGTCAGTCCATTGTTCTGAGAACACCAGCAGCTTATTTGAGAAGGGTCTGGCTGCAGACATGCACCGCCAGCCTATTGATGACGTCAGTGCCGCTGCCACGACAGTGTTTTTGTTGGTTGATCTGCAGATTTTTTCCTTTTAATCTATGCTCTTTTCTCAGTAAGAGCTTCTTGTCAGCTACACATCCTTTCAGACTCATAGTGCTGAGTGTCTCACAGTGGAAGGATGGACAGAAACACCTGGTGATGTTTTCAGATCTGAAGTAAGAGTGGTTGATTTTCTCCTCTCTCTCAAAGATGAAAGCTTTAAGTGCTGTTTGATGGGGACAGTGCTGGTGGTCTACCAGGTTTTGAAGGGTGGTTGTTAGAAGACCCATTTTTCTGTCTTCATATTTTTTAAAACTCCAGTTTCTGAAACTCCTGTTTTCTTTCCACTCATTTTTCTTTGGCTTTCCTCTTCCTTGCGCAAGTGGATGATCAAGTATCTAAACTGCTCAGAAATTCTCCTGAAAAATTAATAACTTGTACTTGGTGGCCATTTTGACTGGAATTTAAACACATGTAGGGTCTCTGCCTATTTAACAGCACTATATACCCAAATACCTACATATACATACACATATACATATACAGATATACAGATACATTTACATCTGTAAAAGTATCAATATTTAATTAGAAATTTCTAATCCTCATCCTAAATATGACCCCAATGTTAATCTCGTAAACAAAAAAATAAAATGTCTTGGATTCTGAAAGATCATTTTGTTGGTTAGACCTGTTTTTTTTTCCCCCCAGGAAATTTGTGTCCTAAAATGTACACACACACACACACACACACACACACACACACACACACACACACACACACACCAAAAACCCAACCCTTCTTTCTTTTTTCCACACAGTCCACCTCTCTCTTCTGCCACTGTTCTCTTCTCTCGTTCTCACTCACTACACCCCACAGCTGGAGGTGAAATCATTAACGCCTCCACTCCCCCATCTCACCCTTCCGTTCTCTCTCCCCCTCCCTTCTCTCCCTCACTCTCTCACTTTCTCACCCATCATTCTTTGCTTTCTTTCCATTTTCTTTCTGTCTGTCTATGTTTTTATCTCTGTTTCTTTTTCTCCTGCCTTTAATTCTCTCTCCACATTCTTTTCCACCTCCTTTCCTCTCTGGAAGTCCTGACCCCGCCCCCTGGGGGGCCCAGTGTCGGCCAATCACAGCCCAGACATGAACTCGCCCTCCCTCTTCCTCTGACTATAAACACTGTAGTAAGAGCGAGGCTGGGAGGCTCACACACCCACACCCAACGTCATAATCATCACCAGAGCGGCTCGAGCTCTGAGTAAATGTGGGGCTCGCGCACTCAGGCGAATCCTACAAACAACATAATCCAACAAAAACAATAAAATAACATCTCCAAGCAGTACATGAGAAAACGCAAGAGAAACCAGCAAACCGCAAGTCAGCAAACACAATTAAAGCCTTCGCTACTTCCCCCAAAATAAACACCAAGCATGTTTTGGTACACACACACACACACACACACACACACACACACACACACACACACACAGACACACAGACACACAGACAGAAAAACACACAGAAAAACACACACACACACACACACACACACACACACACACACACACACAGACACACAGAAAAACACACAGAAAAACACACACACACACACACACAGAGACAGACAGACACAGACAGACACACAGAAAAACACACACACACACACACACAGACACACAGACACACAGACACACAGAAAAACACACACACACACACACACAGAGACAGACAGACAGACACACAGACAGACACACAGACAGACACACAGACAGACACACAGACACCAGCTTCTAACCCAAACTCTAACTCTAACTTATTTAACCCTCAGGTCATCGTTGAGACTAGCGGTAACAAAAACACTGTAATGCTATATGAATTATTTCTCACTGAAACAAACACAGAAATTCTGTTGAAACTGCAGATTCTAATCTTTCAAATGAACACCACATCTGCGCTGTCAGCAGATGTTTAATTGCCTGTTTACTGCATAAAACGTTATTGTTGCGCGTCACTGTTTTGTAATGTGTTTAGTGCTGTGTTATGTCATCATATTCAGTATTGCGTGTGCCTGCACTGTGACTGTATTTAGAAAATTATGTTTAGAAAATTATCTTTTCCCTACACATTCATGTCTGTCACACCTGTCACTTGTCATGTTTAGGCTGGGCCTAATCTTGACATCAGTCCAGTTAAAAAACTGCATCTGTCTATTGTTTTACGGGCAAGCAAGGTGCTGCAATTCTCCAGACATGCGGCTAGCTCCCTGGTTTGGCTTCTTCAGTACACAGTCTTATGTTTTTCTTTCTGTAAAACATTCTTCAAAAGTCTGTCGGCCAGTTTATGTAAGCAAAGAAAGCCGAACATGCATTTACCGAGATGCAACAAAGAATAAAAGTTTTAACTCCAAGTTGCCGTAACACCTAAAGAGGGCAGCAGTGAGCAATGTTTGTTTATCTGAGCTTGAGTTTGTCGTCATTTGGGAGCTATAAAGTGTAAACAGCTAGGAAGCAAGACAGCTCAGCAGCCAATCTGGCCACTTTAGGTTTAAGCATTTCAAGACAACTCAAGTGTTAAACGCAACTATTTACATGGCCCTTAGTTCTGAGTTAAAAGCTCATGACTGTGACGGGCCAAACGCTTCAGGTTTTTTGCCACTGTTTAACACCAAAGCACAGTGAAAAACATCAGAAGTGCAGACTCAAAGCTGTCAAACAGAACGTAGACCAGACATAAATCTAATCACACACTTCTGTAATTATCTAAATTATGTAACATAAATCTAACGTATAGAAAATGACAACCACTAAATTCTAAACCACCCTGCCTTTAAGTGGAGGGTTAAACGGTAAAGTAATGAGTGTGTCAAACTGAGGAACAATTGAAAAGCCAAGCCACAGACAATTAAACAGACCCAAAAGAGCCTTACCTTATCAGTGGCATCTGCACAGGCCGGCTCCGAATGATAGTGATACACTCCTCCCATTGCTCCTATAGTGAGAGAGAGAGAGAGAGAGAGAGAGAGAGAGAGAGAGAGAGAGAAAGAGAGAGAGAGAGAGAGAGAGAGAGAGAGAGAGAGAAGAGAGAGAGAGAGAGAGATTACTCACAGACACACACTAGGCTGTAATGCATTGTGTACAGACATGGACAAAATATTAGTACAGTGATTATAGTGCCGTATACAGTAAATGCTTTGTCACACAATATATTAAAATCTCACTGGGGAATCAATAAGATGACACTGCCTGAATTATTTGGTCGTAAATATCTGACATTAATTTGATTACATGAACATCTTGATTCATCAGAACACCCACAGAAACTCATCTAGATCTGTGATTGGTCAGCACACAGTAAAAACACAGTGACTGGTTAGAGTCTCATTTGTATATTGCAACCTTCTGTTTCGCGAAGGCCAATACTGAGGTAAAGATACTAATAAGTTAATCAAAAAAATGATTAAAATATAAAGAGAAAATGGGACTCCTAACAACCATGTAAGACCTGGTAGACCACCAAAACTGTCCCCATCAGATCAACAGTACTTAAAGTGTTCATCTTTAAGAAAAGGGGAAAAAATAAAATGAAAAAAATTAAATAAATAAATAAATAAATAAATAAAAAAAATCAAGCTCCATCCTTGCTTCAGACCTGGGGAAAAAAAAAATATAAAAATCCCACAAGTGTTTCTGTCCATCCTCCACCATGGAACTGCATGTCCTAAAGTTTGTAGACACCTCTCAAATCAATGGTCTTCTGTCTTAGTACTACCTTTGCTGCAGTAACAGATTCTAATCTTCTGGAAAGGCTTCACTTTAGATGTTGGAACAATGCTGCAAGGATCTGACTGCATTCAGACACAAGAGCATTAGTGAGGTCAGGTACTGGTGTTGAATGATTAGTTCTGCCAGTCCAGCTCATCCCAAAGGTACCGGACGAAGCTCCTTCAGTCCAGAGAACACAGTCCCACTGCTCCACAGCCCAATGCTGTCAGGCTTCTTCGCCCTCTAGCTGACGCTTGGCACTGGGTCATGAGCAGCTGCTCCAGAGCAAACCAGTCTATTGGCAATGCTTTTCTATGGAGATTTCAACAGTGTGTGTGTGTAATTAACCACCTGAAGGGCTGTCTGAACACTTAGTATATTACATAAAACGGTGCCATACCAATAGAAATATACTATGAAATATTATCTGATTTAGAAACCACTGCAGTCTCACCCTCTACCAACACCATCCTGCACTAAATAATATCATAACAGCAAATTCAATCGACGAGCTCAACTGACATCAAATGAGAAATCGCCGAAGCATCTGCCCATTTAGCAGCAATGGAAGAGGGATGATGTTATCATGACAGTAAATCCCTCTGGAACAGCTGGGTGGACGGATGTTTCAATATTAAGTATCTATCTTTGTTCACTCTTACAATTAATAATAATCAGCGGGTCGCCGCTGCCGCTGCTGCCGCTGCTGCTGTTATTGTAGTTTCGTCATCATCATCTGTGTCCACTGCCTGTGATCACAGTGTTGTGACTGAGAGAAAGAGGGTAAATACAATAATCCCAGATTAGAGGAGCCTCCTCACGACATTACATCCCACAAAAGCTTCTTTTTTCCGCCTTTTCATCCCTTTTTTTCCTAGTGTTTTTATGTCCTATGTTTTTTGCTGTTGTTTGTGTCTTTCAAGTGCTTGGGTTAGTATTTCGTCAGATGAGAGGAGGAGAGTTACCCTTGGATGCTCCGACGGCTTCGCTTCAAGGACAGGGGTGTGTGCGTGTGTACGTTTGTGTTCCACAAGAAAACCCTTTAGTTGCCATTTTACTCCTTTAATTTTGTCTCTGTGCTTAATGACTCAAATGTAGAAGACAGAGACCAAATTTAAGACCGGGCCAAGTGTGGGCGAGAGAAGGAGAGAGAGAGAGAGAGAGAGAGAGAGAGAGAGAGAGAGAGAGAGAGAGAGAGAGAGAGAGAGAGAGAGACACAAAAGAGAGGGAGGAAAGGAAGGGAGACAGATAGAAAGAGATGAAGGAGGCAAAAGAAAAAGATGAAAGAGGGAAGAAAGAGAGATAACGAGACAGAGAGAAAGAGAGCAGGCGAGCGAGCAGATAAGATGGAGAAAGAAGAGAGAGAGCAGAGGCAGGAAGAGGACAGAGAGACACATGCAGGAGAGAAAGCAGAGAGGGGAAGAGAGAGTGCAAGCAAAGGAGAGAGAAAGAGAGACAGAGAGCTAGCACAGAGGAGAGATGAAAGAGAGGGAGGAAAGAGAGAGAGAGAGGGGAGGGACAGAGCTAGCAGAGAGGAGAGATGAAAGAGAGGAAGGAAAGAGAGAAAGAGAGCAAGTGAGCCAGCAGATAGAGGGAGAAAAAAAAAAAAGAGATAGCAGAGACAGGAAGAGGGCAGAGAGAGCAGACGAAGAGAGAGAGCATAAGCAAAGGAAAGAATAAGAGAGAGAAAATAAGATAAAGACAGAGACACATGAAAGAGAGGGAGA